CTTTTTGTTCGGTTGCTTTGGATTTTACAAAAAGCCCAGAAACTTTCGAACAAAACCAAACACCCGGATGACCCTCTCTGGCGAGCGGCGAAGACGGCCGATAGGCTGCGTCGCCCGAACCCCGGGAGAGAGGAGCCGGAGATCCGAAACGCGCCAACTCACCGGGCATCCTGCCCGCCGCCTGCTCCCCGCCCCCGTCCCCTCGACGACCCCCGCCCCTGCCCCCCCCCCGGGCTGTTCGGGGCCGGATCCCGGCAGCGGCCTCCCCACAGCGACAGGTAACGCGGTACGGGGTTAGGGATTCCCCGGGAGAGAGGACGAAGAGAGGAGGGTGCCCTGTCCCTCTCCCCGGCGCGGACTCCCGAGCCTGCGGGTTGAGGGTGGGGGACTGTCACTTTATTCGCTCCACGCCTCTTCTCTCTCATAAGGATGCGCCCCACCCCCCCCCTTACCCTTCCTCCGGGCTTGGTTTTTTACGGTTTTTATTTATTCACGGAGCCTCTCGGCTCCTGGGGTCCTTCTAACTCCGCCCGCGCCCTTAATTTAAATCGCTGTATACTGTATTTATCGGGGCCCCGGAGGGGAGGCCGCGAGAGCCGCGTCTGTGTATAAAAGCAGGAAATAGCCAAAGCTTTAATCTAGCCTAATTTATTTTTTTCCCCTTACCTTCCCCTGTCCTACCCCCAAAAAGCAAAACAAAAACAAACAAAAAAAAAAAAACTAACAAAAAAGATTCGAGTGTTCATTTTTTCGTTTCGTTTTATCCGAGCTGCGATTCGGTTCCCGGCCACGCGGGAGGGGTCTGCGCTCCCACAACATAGTCCATGGGAAGAGGCTTCTGCCCCGCTGCAGACTGACCGCTGCACAGCAGGGCCCCCGCTCCCCGCGGGGCCCTGCCCTCCTGGCCACAAACAAAACGAAACTTGACAAAGTTGGAGATATTTTTGGACCAGCTGTAGAAATAAGCCGTTCCCTGAGAACCTTCTGCCTGATTCCCTGCAGCTTCCGCCTGCTCCCTTTCCAGCCCCACCTGGGATGCGGGATGCTGGGCGGCCAGGAGAGAGATCCCCAAGTTTGGGGTGAGGTGGGAACCATGTAAATATGTGAGATATGTACACACTGGCGGGGAGAAGAAACATTTTGTGCTTGGTTTTTATTTTTGGTTTTCCGGGTTGCCCTCCATCCCCATCCTAAAGGATTTTGTACACCGAATAATCCGAAAAAAAAAAAATATTTTAATATGATTTCCAAATTTCTGACCCATCTCTATTTATTTTCTGGATGTGTTTGGAGCTTCCCCCCTTCTCCATTTCTTGTTCTGTTTGTTACAGTTTGGATTTAAATTTTGTTATTTTATTTTTATTATTTTTTGGAACAATGTTTTGGTGCATTCTTTGTATCTTTATTGCAAAAAAAAAAATAATGTAGACTGGGAAGTTCCCTTTATATTTATGTTATAGTAAATATTTTATTACTCACATAAACATGTACCCCAGGGCTGTGTCCTGTCCTTTTTACTACGAGGGTTGGGTTGGTTTGCGGGTAAAGCGTTGGGATACCCTAGCTAACCTCTCCTAAAGTTCTAGCCACACTATCTTGGAGCAAGGTGACCACGCAGACCTTCTCTCAGGCCAGTATGAGGACTGCCTGTTACTTGGGCAACAGTTGGGCCCCTGCTTTTAGGCGAGTGAGTTTTAGGGAAGATGAAGCTGCCTCGTGTCCCCTCCCGTAAACAAAACTATCCTGAGACCAGACCAGGACCTACGACACTGCAGACACCACACTGATTTCGGGACAGCCATTCCCCAGGCACAACTGCTTCTCAGCCAAGGAAGAATTGCCTGTCTCACGTGGACCACCAGCCTGGCATCTTTGTGTTCCCCACCCAAGACCCCAGACCCTGACTTTGGTCTCCCTTTGCGTTCCGTGTGTGGCATCCAGGCCAGCTTTACTCTCGCAGGTCATGGGGCAGTCGGAAGCAGGGTCAGGCCCCACCAGCCCACCCCAGCTGGCTCTCCACCCACAGAACAAATGGTGCCTGAACCTACCTGGATCCACTGGGAGTTCTAACAGCTTCCACAGTGGTCCTGCGGGAATTAAGTGGGCCTGGGGAGGGAGTCCGGCCTGTTTGCTTAGGCAAAGCCAGTCCTACTTCTCTGCAAACAAACCACCTGCCCCAGCTTCTCTGGTGGAGGAATGAGGCCAAAAACAATTGTGCCACCAGAAGGCCCTTCCATCTCTCCAGGGATGGGTCCCCAAGGAAACCCCCCTTCCCCCACTCAGGGAGTGATGCCTATGCCTGTGGGAAGACTCAACAGTGGTACAGTCATGTACCTGGGGACAAAGATGCAGTCTCAGACCCCTCCCCGTTCAAGCTCTCAGCAGCAAATGTCTCCCCACCACCTCCTCAAAGTCATGATGGTGGGGGAAGATCTGGATTCCAGGGCCAGGGCTCAAGGTTACCTGTATCCCGGTCAAGATTCTCTTCTTCCTTTAAAACAACTTTTAAAGACACGCATAAAACATGGATTCAGTTTTCTCAGGAGGAACTAAATGAGGTTTCTCTTACTCTTCATGGACACAAAACCTGAAGCAGCACAAGCACTGGACAGGGTTGGGGGGTGGGGATAAGTTGTGTCCCTAGTGAGCGTGTATGCGTGGCCCCCTCCTGCCAGGGAAGCTGCCCAAGCCCAGGGGCTGGGAGAGGCCTTGGCTCCAGCCGACGCATCTTGGGCACCCAGAGAGGTGTTCCCAGGCCGCCAGTTCAGTGGTACCTGGCTAGGCTGAGGCTTTAGGATGATGGTACCATGCTGAGAGTCCCTGGTGACTTTCTGGGCTCTGACCCTCAATCTCAGGAGGAACTGTCTCTGCAAGTACACAGGCCGCCAAGATTTTTCCAAGGCTCGGCCTCTCACTGCTGGTTTCTTTTTCCTCCCTTCTTCAGTCCAGCTTAGTGGGCAATTAGCCCTGTAATTCGCGCCCGTGTCCCAGCCATTGCCTGTGCTGGTGGGCCCAGCGAGCCTTCTCAACGCTTAAATACGAGGCCGGGAATGTAACAGCCAGGTGACAGCATGGCCTCCATTTCCTGCTCCACTAAGTGGAGAACTTCGAATCAGCCCCACACTCCCCCACACTCTCTCCTCATTCCTCCATTCCTGGATTTGTCCCAGCCTCGGGGCCCTGAAATGGAAGCAAATGAAGCTCAGAGCTCCCTGCCGCCTGCACCACCCTGAGCCTCAGCAGGTTTGGAGGTTGGAAAGGCAACAGGGAAGACCAGGCCTTTCACTGGCCTCTGCCTGCAGCTGACACCTTGATTGATTGATTTCCTAATTGTCTGCTTAATCCTGTACAAGAGGGTGGATTTATTATTTAAGCAAGTCAACTCAAAAACAGCAAAACAATGTGGCCTCCCAGGAACCAGCAGCAGCTGAGGAGAACAAAAAAATGAAGGAAAAAAAAAAAAGTGGAAACAAGGATGGGAGAAAAGCTTCCACTTTGTGAAGATTTTACTTAACGAGCACCAGCCCGGGACAGCTACCCGGTGACCGACCCCTTGGTCACAGAAGCCCCCAGAGGTCCTTTCCCTAGTCTCCAGCTTGGGATGGCCATAGGAACCATAGCACATTTGACTGTGTGAGGAGAAACCACAGGGAGAGAGACAGATTTTGTCCTGGAGTCTTCCTCCTTGGATACAATACAGCTTAGGAAAGGTTTCTCCATCCCGTGTGTACGTGGAGTTACGCGCTCACTCCCGAGGGCCCCAGACTTCCTTGCATTCAAGAGAGGCAGATGGCCCTAGCATCAGTCTTCAGGGAAGCCCAAGCCCTCCCAAGCAGATTTGGAATTTTCTGATCCCAGCTCTCTCCCCTTCTCACCTGAAGAAAATTATTGTCTATGATCATGTGGACACAGATTCTGTTCCTTAAGAGAGCTTCATTCTCCCCATGTGAACCTGTGTGTTGGTGTATGAATGTGTGTGTGTGCTATAGCCGCTCCCAGAAATAGGGGGGAAAGGAAGGCCATGCTATACCACTAATGCCTTGAGCTGGGAAAACATTGACAGGGTGGGGGGTGGCTAAAACAAGCAGGAAGGTGGCCATCATTGTCAACAAGGCAAACCCAGAACCTAAACCTCAAGGACACCTATATTCTCCCCCCACGTCCTGCCCCAGGAAGTTGTACTAGCTTGTATGTCACATGGCTTAGGTCCTGTACAATCATCCCTCGACCCCAAGACCGGGCTGGGTGTCCACAGAGCTAGCTGACCCCCAATCGTAGCCACCCACTTAGAGCTGTTTCGAATGGAGTCTCCTCCGGAGAGGCTCTGGGCCTGCGTGTGGGAGGGTCAAGTTCCCAGTGGCTTTCCCGGGCCCAGGCCTTTTGGAGCAGGGCTTGAGTTCCAGAAAGGAGACCCGCCTGAGTAGGGAGAGGAGTGAGAGTAGGTTAATTATCTGGCCCAGCTGTTCCCCCTAAGCTTAGGGAACGGGAGTCACCCAGGGCCTCTAGCTGAGTGAGTGAAGCCAGAGGAGCTGGCCATCTAGTCCCTGCCCAGCCTATTTGAAGGCATCGGAATTAGTGTTTGGCCAGCCGTTCGGGGCTCCATGTGGGAGGACTGCCCTCTATTGGTCCCTGAGCTGGGACGTGGCCACAGTCACCAGGGCCGCCTCACAGCTGAGCATCCCGCCCCCCAAAACTCAGCTTCAAGTTGGCTATGGTAAGTGGGTTGCCAGGTAGAGCGGAGGCAACCGTCACCTCCGAGAAGGCAACCCTGCTTCACGTGCACACAGGCTTGCCCACAATCCTTCCTTCACCTACCTCCCCTCCGCTTCTCCACCGTTCTCCGAAGTTCGCCATCAGGCTATCTCCTGTCTCTCTCCCACTCGCACCCTTGCCCGGCCCT